TTAAAAAAAAATGCTGCGCCATATCCATATCCATATGCAATGGCAGGATTCAGCCCCGCTTCTTAGCTAAATCACACAGCCGAGTCTCTCAGAGGCAGAAGTTGAATTGCCATAAACAACAATTCCAACCAGCACTTCCTCTCTGCCAGCCAATCCCCGCCTCAGCCTCCCAATCTCAGCCAATCAGACTCCTCAATTGCAAATAGGCACCGCCCCCGGCGGCCCAAAGCGTTGCTGGGAGTTGTGGTTTTCCTTTTCCCCGGCAACCTTTCCAGGCGCAAGGGTTGCTGGGATCCGTAGTCTTTGCCTTCGTCTTGCTCGGGGAGTCTGCGTTTCCTAGAGAGGCTCTACGGAGCGAAGAGCAGGCGGAGGAAGGAGCGTCACTTCCGGGCCTCCCAAGCCTACCGTGGGAAAGTGGCCCTCGCCTTTCCCACGGGTGCAGGATGAACGACTCCAGCGGAGCTGGTGAGTTGAGGGTGGGTTATATATATATAGTGGAAGTGGAATGAATGAATGAATGTGTTATGTACTGAAGTTCACTCACAACTTAACAGAATGAATGAATGAGAGTCCTCTTGGCCAGTAGCCATTGAAAATCCTCCTTGAATTTGCCTAACACGTTTAATGCCAGCCAAGATGGCAGCCCACCCCAACATTTTGTGGTAGCAAGATGGGAAGGTGCAAGAGCAGGGCACCCTTCTGAGGTCGGATCTCCCTTCTCCAGGTAGCACCAGACCCAGGGGGGTTGGGAGGTGGTTGTCACAGACTCAGGGATGATGGGAGTTATAGCTCAATTGGTAGAGCATGAGCCTCTTAACCTGCGGGTTGTAAGTTCAAGCCCCACATTGGACAAAAGATTCCTGTATTTCAGGGGGTTAGACTAGATGGCCCTCGTGGTCCCTTCCAACTCTACAATTCTATGACATCTGGAAGGCCGCAGGTTTCCATGCCTTTTGCTTAAAACATACCTGTGTCTTAAATGAATGAATGAATTTGTGCCCTATTTTGAAGGTCCTGTTTCTTCCCTGCTCTCTTAAAATGTCACTATATGTATATTTGCCAGCAGATGCCGTTTGGGAGAACGAGGAGCAGAAGGACAGAACATCCAGGATGTCACAAGAAAGGATCGTGACCATGGAGGTGGAAATGAAGATTGGGAACCCAGATGAACCACATAGACGGGATGAAACCCTACCAGAGGACGGCAGGAAAGAATCCTCCGCTTTTCAAGGTGGAGATCTCCCAGATGTTCAGGAGATGATAGACACTGAAGAGGACAGGAATAAATGTATGACATGTGGGAAGGTATTCAGAGACGACTCAAACCTTAAGCGGCATCAGAGAACCCACACAGGAGAAAAACCCTATCAGTGTTCATACTGCGGGAAGACTTTTAGCCGGAACACGAACCTTACTTCACATCACAGAACCCACACAGGGGAGAAACCGTATATGTGTTCCGTTTGTAGCAAGACTTTTTGTGATAAATCGAGCCTTAACCGACATCAGAGAACCCATACAGGGGAGAGACCGTATGAGTGTGAAGAGTGTGGGAAGAGCTTTGATCTGAGCCAGTCTCTCATTAGTCACCAGAGAACCCACACGGGAGAGAGGCCCTATAGGTGCTCGGAATGTGGGAAGACTTTCAACCGGAGTCAGAACCTCCGTAGCCACAAGAGAATCCACACGGGAGAGAAACACCACAAGTGCTTAGAATGCGGGAAAAGTTTCAGCCGCAGCCAGAACCTTACGAGGCATCAGAGCAGCCACACAGAGGATAAACTGTATAAGTGCCATGAGTGTGGGAAAAGCTTCCGTCTCAGCCAGTCCCTTATAAGTCACCAGAGAATTCACACGGGAGAGAAACCATATACGTGCTCCCAGTGCGGGAAAAGCTTCAACCGGAGCCAGAACCTTATCAGCCATCAGAGAATCCACACTGGGGAAAAACAGTACAAGTGTTCAGAATGTGGGAAAAGCTTCAACTGGAGCCAAGATCTCCTCCGTCATCAGAGGATCCACACAGGAGAGCAACCCTATCGCTGCACGGAATGTGGGGAACGCTTCAATCGGCGGGAGAATCTTATCAGACACATGAGAATACATCTGGGAGACACCACTTAAGTTGTAATGAGTAGGGTGGGGGGAAGTGAACAAAAACCAGTTCCTTATCATTCATCTGACAATCCACTTTTATTTTTAAAAGCATGCCATTAGAGAAATCTATGGTGCGATCGCATTTCAAATAGTGTGTACAATTCTAGTTATCTCACCTCAAAAAGGATAGTGTGGAGTTGGGAAAATTTCCGAAAAAGGCAACCCAAATGATCAAGGGAATGGATTGACTTCTCCGCCCTGCGTCAGAATTTGGATTGTAAGCTCCTGGAGGACAGAGACCTATCTTCTTAATATTACTATGTAACGAAACATGCACAACAACATTTCTGTTCAAATAATTTAAAAAGTTTACGTTCCCTAGAAAAGATGTGTTCCATCGTAAGGCAGAATATAACATTCACAACAGCTTGTTTAAGTGTGTGACAAAAAGTAGTTTTAAACATGCCTTGTTTTCTTGTTGGGTATTTTTTGCTTCACTTAATATTTATTAAACCGATACCCCCCCCTTTATTTCTGAATGAGTCTATATGCAGTGCATTGCTAGCAACAGGAGATTTATTCAGAAAATTCTACTACCCCCATCATTCAGCCCGGACATTGAGGTCCAGCTCTGAGGGACTTCTGGAAGTTCCCTCTCTGCGAGAAGTGAGGTTATAGGGAACCAGGCAGAGGGCCTTTTCGGTGGCGGTGCATCCCATCAGATGTTAGGGAGATAAACAACTATCTCACTTTTGGAAGACATCTGAAGACAGCCCTGTTTAGGGAAGTCCTTAATGTTTGATGTTTTATTGTGTTTTTAATATTCCGTTGGGAGCCGCCCAGAGTGGCTGGGGAAACCCAGCTTGATGAATGGGGCATAAATAATAAATTCTTGTTATTATTATTAAATCCCATTGTGCTTGCTTCTACACATGTCTTTGCCAATCTGGTGGCATCCAGATGTTTCAGACTACATCTCCCATCAGCCCCAGGCAGCAGGTGAATCTGCCTGATTTTTTATATGACTGAACTCGTAAATTGCACTGTGCATTTAAAAACCACTCCTCTTCTCCTTCTCTTCTTCTTCTCTGGAACGGATGCCATTCCGTAACACGAGGTTCCACTGTATGTTGCTTTGGGTTGCCTTGAGCAACATAAATTTAATTAATAACAACAACAGTAACTACAACCGTAGAGAGGCAGTGTGGCATAATGGTTAGAGTGACCAGGGTTCAAATCCTGCTCACTGGGCGACCTTGGGCCAGTCACTGCCTCTTGGCTTAACCTGTTGTGAGGATGAATTGGGGGAGGGGAGAGAGAAGCATGTACACTCCCTTAAGCGCCTTGGAAGAAAATGTGGTCTATGAAGGTAATAATTAAGTTTTGACCTCCTCGCGGCATTACAATTTCCAACACCCTTAACAAACCACTGCTACCAGGATTATTTGGGGGGTGGGGTAGGGGACAACACTCTGAAAATGCCTAGCATGCAACTGAGTTATTCCTAGAAGGCAGTTTTTAAAATGAGAGGTGATAAATACAAGGTGCCATGGCCCCCAAAATATAGTCCAGCCCCCCACAAGGTCTGAGGGACAGTGGACCGGCCCCCTGCTGAAAAAGTTTGCTGACCCTGCTTTAGAAGATATCTGAAGGCAGCCCTGTATAGGGAAGGGTTTTTTAAAAATGCTTTATGTTTTGTTATGTTTTATATATGTTGGAGGGTTGGGACGCGGGTGGCGCTGTGGGTTAAACCACAGAGCCTAGGACTTGCTGATCAGAAGGTCGGCGGTTCGAATGCCGCGACAGGGTGAGCTCCCATTGCTCGGTCCCTACTCCTGCCCACCTAGCAGTTCGAAAGCACGTCAAAGTGCAAGTAGAAAAATAGGTACCGCTCTGGCGGAAGGTAAACGGCGTTTCCGTGTGCTGCTCTGGTTCGCCAGAAGCGGCTTAGTCATGCTGGCCACATGACCCAGAAACTGTACACCGGCTCCCTTGGCCAATAAAGCGAGATGAGCGCCGCAACCCCAGAGTCGTCCGCGACTGGACCTAACGGTCAGGGGTCCCTCTACCTTTATATATGTTGGAACCCAGTCAGATGGGTGGGATATAAATATTATTATTATTGAATAGGATGTCCCTATTGTCATTGGAGAAATGTTGGAGGGTATGTTAAGCATGTAGCCCTCCTAGAAACAAAATTATTGGGGGAAATTTGAGGCACCTGAGGGATAGCTCAGTAGAGCAGAGCTTTCTAAACTTTTCATGCTGGCAACCTACTTTTTAGACATGCATCCTGTCGCGACACAGTCATCCAGTTTTTACTAGCAAACCTCTTTCCAGTCCTGGGAGGAGCGTGGGGAGCATTCAGGCAACACACCTACACACCATAGCTGTCAACTTTTCCCTTTTCTTGCGAGGAATCCTATTCGGAATAAGGGAATTTCCCTTTAAAAAAGGGAAACGTTGACAGCTATGTAACACACTGAAGCCGACATACGGAAGTGTCGCGGGGCACATGGTTTGGGAAGCTCTGCAGCGGAGCGTGGGACTCTTAATATCAGGGGACTCTTAATTTCAGGGTCAAGAGTTCGAGCCCCACGTTGGGTGAAAGATTCCTGCATTGCAGGGGGCTGGACTAGATGACCCTCGGGGGTCCCTTCCAACTTCTGTGATGATGATGATGATGATGATGATGTGATAAGGAGTCCTCGATCCATGCATATCTGTCCATGCATTCCCCCCCCTTTTTTAAACTGTCAGAAATAGTATGTTTATTTTTCTTCCATAGTGGTAATTTTTCTTCAATTACAATGTTAGTTTTTGGCCATAAAAAATGTTACTTGACGAAACCTTTAAAAAGCAAACAAACAAAACCAGACAACTCAATTTAAAAAAACAACTCCCCCCCCAAAAAATAGTTATTCTCTCATTTCTCCATTTTCTTCTTCCACACCCCTTATATAAAGGACATTATTGCACCTTATCAGAACTGGACCAAGGTGTCCAGATAATGCACCATCAATATATTCTTCTGTATTTGCAAGCTGCATGCTCATGTAGCCATCGAGGGAGACGAGGTCGCCTTTGTATCCCGCCCCCCACTTCAGCTTCACCATCACCGGCTTCCCACTCAGCCCGTTTAGGAAGGGCTTTGGATGGCGAGGCAGCCTCATCGCAACCAGACCAACCTAAGGGCGGCTGCGGCAAGAACAAAAATCCCTCGCAGGCGGCACGTGCGCCCGCCAAAGCTCTAAAAATAAGAAGCTGCCCATGCATTCCTAAAGAAAAGCCAGTCCTCCAATGGGCGGCGCAAGGGGCGCATCCTCGGCGCCGGCCACCTTGGGAGCGCGCCCGCGCGCGAAGAGTTAAAACGATAGAGCTGCGGCGGCGGCGAGGAGAGGCTCCCGGGGAACGTTCTCTGCCCATCCTTAGTTCAGGAGAGGGAGGCTGGGACAGAGCGGAGGCCCCTCGCTGCTCCCTCGCCCTCCCGGCCCGGAAGACCCAGCGCCCGGCCAGGGCTCCTTGCAGAGCGGAGGCAGCTGCGCCCGGGAAGCCGCTCCGGGAGGTCAGTTGCCAGGAGGGACCGGCGGGCTTTTCCAAGCCGCCCGGGCGTCGCTCGGGGGTGTTGCAGGCAAGGGGCGGGGGGGGGGTCCGGGAGGGGGAGAATGAGGGGCGGGGAGGGGCGCCCTTGACAGCCAGCCCGGCAGCTAAGCCAGATCCAGGAAGGTGGATAGCCCTGCGCCCCGCCCCCCCCCCCCAGGATTTTTGCAGTCCTGATCCTTTTAGGAAAGAGGGGCTGGGTGGGGAGGATGTGGCCTTTGCATTCCCGCACAAAACCTTTCTGCTGATTCTTGTTCCCCCGCACAAAACCCCTCTGCCGATTCTTGTTCCCCTGCACAAAACCTCTCTGCCGATTCTTGTTCCCCTGCACAAAACCCCTCTGCCGATTCTTGTTCCCCTGCACAAAACCTCCCTGCCGATTCTTGTTCCCCTGCACAAAACCTTTCTGCCGATTCTTGTTCCCCCGCACAAAACGTCCCTGCCGATTCTTGTTCCCCTGCACAAAACCTCCCTGCCGATTCTTGTTCCCCTGCACAAAACCTCCCTGCCGATTCTTGTTCCCCTGCACAAAACCTCCCTGCCGAGTCTTGTTCTCCCGCACAAAACCCCTCTGCCGAGTCTTGTTCTCCCGCACAAAACCCCTCTGCCGATTCTTGTTTTCCCCCCAGCACAAAACCTCCTCCTGGTCCATTTGCGAGGACGGGCCTGTGGCAAAGTGGCAAGAGGCGACTGTGCAGGTCTCTGCCTCGATGAGCTTGCAGTGCAAAGGGGTAGGAGAGGGCAGAGGCAGGAAATGGACAAATGGACAGGAAAGCAGTCTGGGGAAATGCATTTATTTATTAGATTGCAATCCCAGCTGCCCCTCCCTGCCAAAGAGTTTGAGGCGGCAGCATTTATGGTCTCCCTGCCATTTCCGTCTCTGTGGAATGGTAGAATTGTAGAGTTGGAAGGGACCCCTAGGGCCATCTCGTCCAACCCCTTGCAACAACCCTGCGAGGTAGGGCGTCCCACGAAAACCCTGCGGCGTAGGTTAGGGTAACAGACTGTGACTGTCGCGAGGTTAACCTGGTGAGTTTCATGGCCAAGCAAGGATTTGAACCCGGGTCTTCCAGGTCCTGGTCCAGTGCTCTAACCACGATTCCACCACTGGCTCTCTTTCAGCTACATGTGTTTAGGCTTGGTTACACTAAGGCATGAGGGCTAGGAGGTAAGAGGGGTTGTCCCCCTTTGCTGCTTTCCCCCTCTTCTGGAAAGAGCCGTTTTCCACCTGAAAGGTCCTGCAATTTCAGAGCAGCCTTAGACTGACTTCAGTCTGTTATTGTTACTCTTTCCCCAAAACTGGAATCCTGTGTTATTCTGATACGTAAAAGCTGAAGGGCCAAAGCTCAGTGGTAAAAGTTCTGCTTTGTGTACAGAAGATCTCAGGTGGAGCTGGAATAATAATAATAACAATAACAACAATAATAATAATAATTTATTATTTATACCCTGCCCATCTGGGCGGCTTCCAAAAAAATATTAAAATACTGTAATACATCAAACATTAAAAGCTTCCCTAAACAGGGCTGCCTTCAGATGTCTTCGAAAAGTCTGGTAGCTGTTGTTCTCTTTGGCATCTGGTGGGAGGGCGTTCCACAGGGAGGGCGCCACTACCGAGAAGGCCCTCTGCCTGGTTCTCTGTAACTTGGCTTCTCGCAGTGAGGGAACCGCCAGAAGGCCCTCGGTGCTGGACCTCAGTGTCCGGGCTAAATGATGGGGGTGGAGACGCTCCTTCAGATATACTGGACCGAGGCCGTTTAGGGCTTTAAAGGTCAGCACTAACACTTTGAATTGTGCTAGGAAACATACTGGGAGCCAATGTAGGTCTTTCAAGACTGGTGTTATATGGTCTCAGCGGCTGCTCCCAGTCACCAGTCTAGCTGCCGCATTCTGGATTAGTTGTAGTTTCCGGGTCACCTTCAAGATATCCCTGCCTGAAACCCTGGAGAGCTGCTGCCAGTCTGGGTTGACAATATTGAACCAGATGGACCGGTGCCCCCATTCAGTAGTAAGGTAGTTCCTAAGTTTCCTGGGCACATTCTCAGACCCAGTGAGGAAGCGATCGAATATTCAGGATCTGTTTATAGTTGTTGCTGTTAATTATTATTTTTGTTATATTTATTGTTTAACATGACAACACAGTCCCTGGCTGAAAGCCTGCAGTCTAATAACCCACCTGAAAACTGGTGGGTTAGGCCAGGGGGTGCCTCTCTATGACCTTGAGGGCCCTGCACTAACCCTGCAACTTGGTCTGTAAAACGACCCAGAAATAGCAAGTGTAGAAGGAACTGGTTTGGCCACATCTTTGGCCAGGATTTTTCTCCTGTGTGTTGATGGATGGTTATTGGCTGAACGGCAACCTACCCTAGAGAAGGGCCCAGAGAAAGATGGGGCTGTGACTCACCCCAAATAATCTTGGAAACTGCAGTTTTCCCCCTTGCAGAACTGAACTTCAGTTCCCAGCACTCTTAAAAGTTCCCAGAAGTCTTTGGTGGTGGTGCTATTAAAAATGTTAAGGTGCACACACATAGTAGATACACACTCTGTTTAAAACCAATCCTTTACCCTTCAAAAATTAGGAAGTATTCCCAAAGAAAAATGCACTTTTTACACAGAGCAATCCTGAAGCCATCTTGGCTCATCTTGGAAAACCTCTCCCAATAGTTCTTCCCACTTGCAAATCCTTCAAATCCTGTGAATAGATAAACTTCTTGGAATGAATAGGCTTCCCCTCTGCAAAACCTGTCTGGCAAGTATTTGTTAAAAGCAAAGTTTTTTAAAGATGTCCAAAGAACATCTGGGTATCAGTAGGTGTAGGTCTGAGAAATGGTTTCAAGAACTAAGGTTCTACCATTTCTACGGACTTGGCAAGCTTGATCAGGTATCTTGACAGACAGGAGATAAGCCATACTCTCAAATTTAGTAATTTAGTGGTTGTAAACCACCTCTAAGGCTTTCAGCTTTCATCTGTACACAATTATTTCCCAAATATTCAATAAACGTTTTCCAATCTTCTCTAAACGTATGTTTTTCTTGTTCTCTTATTCTATATGCTAAGTCTGCGAGCTGCGCATATTCTGTCATCTTAAGTCCCCGTTCTTCTTTAGTTGGGACCTCACTCGTTTTCCATTTTGGGGCTAACAAAACATGGGTCACTGTAATAACATACATAAACAACCTTTTTTGACACCTGGGAATTTCAGTCTGAATTATCCCCAACTGAAAGGACTCTGGGGTGTTTTTGGGAAAGTACTTTTGAACATTTTTTCCAATTCATTATGTATCATCCGCCAATACTCTTTTTACCCTTTTACAAGTCCACCTTGGAATCTTTCTGTTTTGGCTAATCAGTACTGTGCTACTTTTGTTTGGAATTGTTCTACTTCTTTTTATAATTGTGTACACCGTTTTACTTGCTTTTAATTGTATGGTTATGTTGTTGTAACCCCCCAGGACCTTATGGTGAAGGGTGGGAAAGGAATCTCAGATAGAGAGAGAGAGAGAGAAATATTATTCCCAATAACATCTTTCATCTTCAAGGTTTTGGGTTATCATAGCTTTGCCTTCTGTTGCTGTGGCATAATTTGTATTTGAGAGGAATATTCAATGAGCATAGGCAGATATTTTAGCACTTATGTGATAACACCCACCGTGTTTGCACGGCAATGTTGTAAAGAAGAATCATAGAATCATGTCATTCACACACAGAGAAAGCAATTGGTAACAGCAATAATGACAACACCACAATCATGAATTTGATATGTTCTTTATTTTTATGTCCTTTAGTGCTTACATGGTTTTGATGCTGATTCTGTTGAACTTCTGGTGGTATAATTTTCTTTAGGCACTTTTATTTATTATTTATTTCTTGATAATATTTATAGCCTGCCCTTCCTCTGTACGAATACCAGGGCAAGGAAAGGGACATAAAATAATAACAGCCAACTGCGTCAACAATGCATACTAAAATACACCAAACAAAATAGGGCCAGCTGACAAGAGCAAGTTAAACAAGCATCCTCTTAAAAACACACACACCCTTAAACTTGATATGCTGTTGATTCAACCCATTTGATTAATGTTATTCTGTAAATGCATCAAGAGCAATTTTAGGAGAATTAATCCACCGAGGGAAGCATTTCAGTGCTACAATGCATTTTTTTAAATGCTGGTTTTTACCTTGTGAAATTTAAGAGCTTTAAGAGCTACAATTCTCCAACTGCCCAGGAGAAAAGGATTGTTTGTTAAACCACTTTGAGAATTGTAGTTCTGTGAGGGGAATAGGCGTCTCCTGACAACTCTCAGCACCCCAAACAAACTACAGCTCCCAGGATTCTTTGGGGGAAGCCAGGAGTGTTTACTGCTTTAAATGTATGGCCCAATTAATGTTTACTCAGAATTCAATCCCCTGGGTTCAGTGGGGCTTACTCTAAGTATGTAAATCAGGGGTGTTGTGGTAAGCTGTGCCTTCAGATCCCAGACTTCAGCTCCCATCACCCCTGGCCATTGGCTCTGCTCGCAGAGGCTGATGGGAGTTGGAGTCCGGCAACATCAAGAGGCCTCCTGGTTGGGGAAGGCCAATATATAGCATAAAGCCTGCTCAACTGTTAAAAAAATTGTCTGCATTTCGCTCTTCCTTTGCCTCCTCAATTTGAGCTGTTGTCATTAAGTTTCCTAACCAATTCCAGTTGCTCAGCTGATATCTCATCCGGGATATGCACTCTGTCATGCACCAGAAGGATTTCTAATAGAACTGCAAGCCATATTTCCAGACATTTAACTTTGTTTATTTGCATTTTGTTATGATAAATGTTCATAACTGTATATATAAACCACATGTCTGAAACCCCACAGAAAAGGTCCTGAAACCATTTTGTCCCTCCCAAATTGACCTCAAATATTTCTCTGCAAGGTCGAAGGAAAATGGAAAAGCCTCCCCATTGTCTTTTCCTTCACAAATCCTGTCTTAAGGGTATGTCTGTGTATGAACAGGGTGAGCCTGCGACCTGGCTCAGGAACTAAGTATTCATCATTACAAAAGACTGGCCAGGCTCCCCAGGTAAGCCAATCAGGTGACCATTAACAGTTAACCTGCCAGACAGGAGATAAACAACACACTCAGATTTCTGTTGTAGACCGCCTTTTCTTTGATGGAACTGTTACCAGAAAAATCCGAGGGCTCCCTTGGACAAAAACAAAGACACCAACCAGGATAACCTGGAGCAAAACAGCAGCCTGTAGGCTTGGCCTTTATTGAACTGTTGCAACAGGGTGTTCCCCTCACTTGCAAGAGAGGAAAGACCCAGAAAGATGGTGTGTAAGACCTTATAAAAACTTTTGAAATTCCCATCCTCTAGGTCAAGCCCACCCCCAGAAACATCATGCATACATTACAGAAAGGAGGGGTTGGCAACATGCATACATTACAGAAAGGAGGGGTTGAGGGAGGAGTTGTGGTGGTAACCTGAGTGTCCTGTCACCTGGCTGGTTCCTCCTTTCCCCCTCCTCATGAGTCACTTCCAGGAGACAAAGGGGAGTTGGCAGTTTCCTGCCCCCAGAGGGAAGATCTGATCATTGTCCTTTGTTTCAGTCCATGCTGAATCCACTCCCATATGCAAGTTCTTTGTGATCTTGATTGTCTTCTGTCTGGGATCATCAGGGTTGGCATAGCAACTGGGCAGGGCTCCTGTGGATGTCCTGGGATGGTGAAGGGATTATGGCTGACCAGAACCAAGCCACCCCCCTTTGATAGTCCTTGTCATATGGAGTAAAATAAAAATGGAACAGTGCAAATCCGGTGTATGGTTGATTTTTCTATGAATTTATAACAGAAATGTGGCGTATGTAGTGTGTGAGTGTGAGTGTGTGTGAAGTTTGTACAAACAGAATGATTGGGGTGGGGGGGTTCCTGCTACAGAGGTATGGTGTATCTGGAGGGTGGTTTTGGTCTACACCCCTTCTGTGATGTATGTATGGAGGGGTGATCTGGAGCTCCAGGGCAGGGAATTGCAAAATGGATATATAAGGCCTTGTGCGCCATTGTTCGAGGTCCTCCTCATCCTCTCTCCTATGTGTCGGGGAAGCACCCTATTGCAACAGTCAATAAAGATCAGGCTTACTAGCTGCTTTGCTTCTCAATTTTCTCTGGTTGGCCTTTGTTATTTTTCTCCTACCGATAGAGAACCTACAAAAGGACTCTATATGGGCTCTTGGGTACCCCATAAGGGAAAAGGAGCAGTTTTTTAAAAAAAAAAAACTGATATCAACCCTATTCTGAAGCAAGAAGCGGGTTTTCTTTGTTTTCAAATGATTTATTTGTTGCTTTACTATCAAGGTTCCTTGCCTTGCCCTTCACCGCAAGGTCCCACAATCCAAGGTTATAAAAACACAATTAAAAACTGCTCCAAGCAAAACACAGTGCAGTTTATAGTTTCAATAAAAGAGGTAAACTGGAGGCTTCGCAACAAAGGTGATGGCTGGAATTGCACAATCTTGGTCACTAATGTCAGAAGAAACATTCTTACTGCAAACATTCTTGCGTCCTGATTCTGTAGGACATAGGGGTTAAATCATGCGGGAAATGTCTTTAAAAAGCTCCAAAACTCAAAAATTCTTGTAGCTTTTGCTAAAAAAAAGCTGCAACAATTTTGCTTCCCCTAAAAACACAACCCAAAAAATCTCATCAGCTTTTGGGTTTTCCTTAATAAAGCTCAACAATTCCAGTGGTTTCCTTTAAAAAGTCTTTGAAATATATATAATATAATAATATAATAATTTATTATTTATACCCCGCCCATCTGGCTGGGTTTTCCCAGCCACTCTGGGCAGCTCTCAACCGACTATTAAAAAACACTATACAGCATTAAACATTAAAAATTTCCCTAAAGAGGGCTGCCTTCAGATGCCTTTTAAAAGTAAAACAGTTGCTTATTTCCTTGACAACCCTATCAAGGGAGAGTGAAGACGGGAAGCTTATTTTAAGATGAGGCTTGTGCTCTCCATTTCCCCATAGGTCTTTTTAATTGAATAAAAGTGACATTTCCCCACAAAATATTCTACTGCCTGGAACATCAGGGTTCAAGAGATGGAAACTTTTAACCAATTAAAGGGTGGGTTAAAAGAAAAAGGTTCAAATTAAGCAGTTAATTGACTGAATGTTGCTCCCTTCATTTCCACAGGGTGTTTGCTTTATTGTATTTATTTGAAAATATTTATATCTTGCCTGTCTTCCAAGGAGCTCAAGGTGGTGTAGACAGCCAGCTTCCCCACCTGGTTTTTGGCCCTCATGACCATCCCGTGAGGTAGGTCAGGCTGAGGGCAATTGTGACTTGCCCAAGGTCTCCCAGCGAGCTTCATGGCTGAGTGAGGATTCGAACCCAAGTCTCTCGAGGACTTGACTGGCACTCTGCTGGGTACCTTCACCTGTCTCTCTGACACCTGTTTGTGCTTCCTTTCTTCAGGGAGAAAATGCCAGCCGCTTCCGTATGACCTTTCCTCTCTCCCGAGACGAACAACAAAAATTCACCTCGCACGCCCTGCGGAACAGCCCGTTTCACCGCGATGTAACTGCAGGCCCCGAAGCCCAGGCCTTCCCAATTCCGTCGCAGCCGAGGGCAGAAGGAGGAGAAAAGGTCTGTAGCGAGACAAAATGGCGGCCCAGCGGAGAGACGCGTTGCCTCTGGACCTCCAGTTCCGGGCTGGGCTGGAACGAGGGGCGAATTTAGCCCTGAAAATGGAAGACGCGGAGCTGGTGGGCTTGAAGCAGGAGGTGGAATTGGAGGGGCAGGGTGCCAGCCCAGTGCCACCCAGACGGGGTCCGACAGGCAAGGCCCGAGATGGAGAGGACCGCAGCACATCAAACAAGAACCAGAGGACGGGATGTCGTCGCAGCAGTGGGAGGCACAATGGCAGGAGTTTCTGGGCGGGGTGCAGTCTCCTCGCTCGGGATGGGGGTCCCGACAGCTTCCGGGCACCACTCGTGGGGGGACATGAAGGCACCCGCGGCGCATTTGACGGGGGAGCCACGACCAGCCACCGGCCCGCGGAAGGGCACTTCGTTCCCCCGCCAGCCGGCTTTGACGGGACGGGGCCACCGGCCACCCGAGATCAGAGGAAAGTGAAGGAGGAGATGGAGAGCAGCGAGGACCCCGCCGGCGCCGAGACGAACCGCCAGCACTTCCGGCAGTTCCACTACCAGGAGGCCGAGGGTCCCCGCGAGGTCTGCAGCCGCCTCTGGGACCTGTGCCAGCAATGGCTGGAGCCCGAGAGGCACACCAAGGAGCAGATCCTGGAGCTGCTGGTGCTGGAGCAGTTTCTGACTGTCCTGCCCCCGGAGATGGAGGGCTGGGTCAAGGAATGCCGCCCTCACAATTGCGCCCAGGCGGTGGCCCTGGCAGAGGATTTCCTGCAGAGGCACCAGGAGGAGGGCAGGCAGGACCGGAAGGTGAGGAGATCTGCTTCCAGATGGGGGGGGCCACATCTGCACAATACATTCAAAGCCCTCTTATACCACTCGAATCACTGTGGCCTCTTCCAGAAGCACCCTGGGAACTGTAGTTTGTTCAGGGTGCTGAGAGCCGTTAGGCGATCCCCCACCCCTCACAGCGCTACAGTTCCCAAAGTTCTCTGGGGAAAGGGATTAAGCCACTCTGGGAATTGTAGCTTTGTGCGTGTGTCTCCTAACAACTCTCAGCACCCTTAAGAAACACTGGTTGTCATTTTCTGTTTTAAAGCGCCAGGTGAAAACTTTCCGTTTTACCTCAGTCCCTTGGTTTGAAAGGTTTTTAAGTATTTGTGGCCTCTTTTAGTAGGGAAGGGTCTGTAAGACCTGTCTTTTACTTGTTCAGATGTGGGTTTTTAAGGTTCGGCTGTGTTTTATCGTAATTGGTGTTAGCATTTCTGTTGCGCCTGTAAGTCACGGAGCCATTTCCGCGAGGAAAGCGACTAAATGACGACAGCAAACAAACTACAGTTCCAAAGAGCCTTTGGGGGAAGCAGGACCACCCTAAGACATTTTGCTGCCCGAAGTTAATTTAATTTTTTTTTTAAAAAAAAATAATAGTCAAATTGCTAATTAATGGTTTTGAGTTAACCGTGGGCCTCAGGGTGAGCATGGTTTCTGATTGTACTAAATTGCTCGTGTTATTGAGAACAAAAAGGGATTGTGGAGATGTCTAATCTCTTCAAACTGAGTGAACGGGCAATAAAATGTCAAATGCAATTCAGTGCAAGCTATATATACGCATTGGGGCAAAATGTTGTCGTCGTTGTTACAGTTTATTACCTGCCCCTCTCCTTAAGGTCCCAGGGTGGCTTACAACAAATAAAACACACCATTAATATTGAAACACAAGATTGCACAACACTAGAAACCCGTTTAAAGCAACCTAGAATTACAAAAATACAAAATACAAAAATAAGGATGCTGACCGGGAACTGATCAGGAGCATTTACAGTGGGTTACAGTAAATAGCTCGACGAAGGGTGCGGCAGCTGTGGGGAAAGGAAAATTCCACGTAAGGGATCATGAGGAGAAATTGGAAATAAAACCGCCGCTCTCATGACACTGTTAAGCAAATCTGTGGCGTGCCCACGCTTGGAATACTGTATACAGTTCTGGTCTCCTCACCTCATAAAGGATATTGTAGGTACGGAACAGAGCAACCGAAATGATGAAGGCGATGGAGCAAAGATTTTGAGGAAAGGGTACAATGTTTGGGGCTTTGGGGTTTAGAGAAAAGGTGGCAAGTAATAGGTGACATAGTAAAGGTGTAAAAACTTCTTCATGGTGTGAAGAATGTGGATGGGGAGACACACACACCCAGTAGCACTAGACCTCGTAGGTCAGGCATGTCCAACTGGACGTCTGTGGCAGGTAGTGGTCGATAGTGGTAGATCTCCGACCCCCCCCCCCAGCAAAAGCTTTGGCTACCCTAAAAAAAGCTCAACAACTTCGACCTATCACTGCCAGTTTTTAATTCTGTGAGTTGGCCACCCCTGTCGTAGGTGGACCACGAAGCTAAAGTCCTTCCTCACACAGTGAATTTGCTGCCACGAGAGGCAGCAATGGCCTGGGAATAATTCAGCCACTTGCTCGTTGAGGCACTCTCCCTCCATCTGGGCTCCATCTGGGGAGGAAGGGCAGGGTATAAATTCACTAAATAATAACGATCTTGACAAAGCAAAATAAAATGCTCGCTGCTGTTTTCAGGGCCCAGGGATGTTCCATGTGGTGACCGTAAATTTCCCCGACGCTGAGCACGCGGCAAGCAGGAGTGCAGAGAGGCAGCTTGGGAGGCCCGTCAAGGAGGAAGTCGAAGAAGACGGCCACTCCGTGGGTAAGGGATTCTCCTGACCGATGAGCAAAGTGGCTCACCTGTAGCCTGTCAGATGCTGCTGGAGCACAGCTCCCGTCATCCCTGAACAACAGCCAGGCTGGCTGGGGGCTGAGAGGAGTTGGAGTCCCGGAATAAGGAACCCAATGTCTTCCAGGCACTGCTGGACTACAGCTTCCGTAATCTCTGGCCATCTGAAGTGCCGCTGTTAAGCCATTCCTGCTGTGCAGATTTGCAGAGTCGGAAGGGCCTTCAAGGGCCATCTAGTCCAACCCCTTGTGATGCAGGAATCTTTTGCACAACATGAGACTCGAACCCATGACTCCGGGATTAAGAGTCTCAGGCTTTGCCGACTGAGCTAACCCAGCAGTTGCATATGTGTGTGTCAAAACTCAGGAGTCTTGAGACCTGGTTTATACCAAACGTGCAGGTGGGTTGTATGTTTATTTCGGAGCAAACACTTCGAGCTACAGAGGGGTTCAGATGGGCACATTTTCCCCATTTGTACATCGTTCATGCCTGTCGGGGATTAGCCCTGCCCAGACCTTGACCCTTAAGAAGATGCAGATCTCCACACTGCCATGAGAAGCCATTGGATTTAGACCTCGCTGCACCCAGTGATGGATACTGGGGTCTCCAATTTCAGCAGCGCCCGAATTCAGTGCTCCCCTAAAAGGGTAACAGGGCTTAGTGAGCGGGGAGAGTCTGTGGCAGAGAGAAGCCCGGAATCAGAGGCAGAAGCTGAACTGGAGGAAGAGGGAGGCCAAGAGGCAATGAAGGGCCAGGCTGGCGGAGGGTCTCCCCATCCTGCTGCAAAAACCTTCCCTTCCCCCTGGTCTCCCAGAACCAGGGGAGGCATGAAGCAGGGGAAGCAAAGGCAGCCACGCAGGCACAGTCTCCGATTGCTTAGCGAGAACCCTGGAGAGGAGGCACAGACCTTCAGCCTCGGCAACAGCTCCACGGGGCCAAGACCTGAGTTGCTGTGCTCATTAGGGCCGACACTCATGTGTGGATCCTGTTTTGCTAATAAAGGGTTTTGCTAATATAGGGACGCGGGTGGCGTTATGGTCTAAACCACTCAGCCTCTTGGGCTTGCCGATTAGAAGGTCGGCGGTTCAAATGGGTGAGCTCTCGTTTCCCTGTACCGGCTTCTGCCAAGCTAGGAGTTTGAAAGCATGCTAGTGCAAGTAGATAAATAGGTACCACTGCGGCGGGAAGGTAAACAGCGTTTCCATGCGCCCTGGCTTCCGTCACAGTGTTCCATTGCACCAGAAGCGGTTTAGTCATGCTGGCCACATGACCCGGAAAGCTGCCTGTGTACAAACGCCGACTCCCTCAGCCTGAAAGCGAGATGATCTTTGCACCCCATACAGTGGTACCTCGGGTTAAGAACTTAATTCGTTCCAGAGGTCTGTTCTTAACCTGAAACTGTTCTTAACCCGAAGCACCACTTTAGCTAATGGGGCCCCCCGCTGCCGCCGCGCCGCCAGAGCACGATTTCTGTTCTCATCCTGAAGCAAAGTTCTTAACCCGAGGTACTATTTCTGGGTTAGCGAAGTCTGTAACCTGAAGCGTCCGTAACCTGAAGCATCTGTAACCCGAGGTACCACTGTAGTTGCCTTTGGCTGAACGTAACTGTCCAGGGGTCCTCAGTGTGATTTACTGCTGACTCGCTCCTGTCAGACCCCGAGGGACATCTAGTCCAACCCCCTACGACGCCTGCTTTCTGCAGGGGTACACAAACCTAACTTGTGTTCGGATTCTCTTTTTTTCTTCCAGCAGATGATGGGCAAATCAACGAGAATGAGGCGAACAGGTGGAAAACCCTTCAGGGAGCTGAATCTCACGGGCTCTCGGCAGATGGGACGGAATCCGCCGGCCGTTTCCGTGAAATGGAAGAGAGCTACAAGGGTCAGAGCGGGCCCGAGGGGCATCATGAGAACGGCCCAGAAGGGGCCACCGCGGAAGGGACCCCGCCGGGAGAGAAGCAGTCGTTGTGCTCCAACTGCGGGGGGAGTTTCAACCCCAGCTCGGGGTTCCTCGGGCCGGAGGGCTTCCCTCCGGGGGCCAACCCCTACAAGTGCTCCGTGTGCGAGAAAAGCTTCTGCCAGGTAGCCAAGCTCATCGCCCACGAACGCCTGCACACGGGCGACTGGCCCTACAAGTGCTCGTTCTGCGGAAAGAGCTTCAACCGCAGCTCGGACGTCTCCCGGCACGAGAGGATCCACACGGGCGAGAAGCCCTTCAAGTGCGCCACGTGCGAGAAGTGCTTCAGCCAGAGGTCCAAGCTGATCGTGCACGAGCGCTTCCACACGGGCGACAAGCCCCACACGTGCTCCTACTGCGGCCGCAGCTTCCACCAGAGGTCGGACCTGGTGAAGCACGAGAGGATCCACACGGGCGAGAAGCCCTACAAGTGCTCCGACTGCGGTGGCAGCTTCCACCGCAGCTCGGACCTGGTCAAGCACAAGTGGATCCACACGGGCGAGAGGCCCTACAAGTGCTCCACGTGCGAGAAGAGCTTCCGCCAGCGCTCCGCCCTCCTCTACCACGAGAGGACGCACACGGGCGAGAAGCCCTACACCTGCACCGCCTGCGGCAAGGGCTTCAGCTGCAAGGCGCACCTCGTGCTCCACAAACGGACCCACACCGGCGAGAAGCCCTACAAGTGCAACTTCTGCGGGAAGAGCTTCACCACCAGCTCGTACTTCGTGAAGCATCAGAGGATGCACCTAGGGCAGGAGGCCTTGCCCGTGCTCTGAGCTGCTCTCGGAAGACTTCCCCAGAGCAGGAGGACCACCGCGGGACGTGTCTCTCAACGGGGCTGGACCAAGGATCAGGCCGCAGGTGGGAAGCTTCGTCTTTGAATGCTCTCACCGTACGATTATTTTTTAAGGACATCACCCCGTCTGTAGAAAGCTAGCATCTCAGGGCCTTTCCCCTGACATGCTAGGTTTCTTACATGCAAGAATTGAGAGCAAGAGATAGAGGAGCAGTCAAGCGTTCCATTCTCTACCTGCAATCGGAAATGGTGCGGGAAAGCTGCTGGTTGTGAAGGTTGGATTTTATGTTTTGCGAGAGGCGAGAGAATATTTGAGGCTAGGCAAGGTAGGGGGAACCGCCAAAGCCTTGCCGCTCGTGGGAAAATTAGCCGCATTTGCTTTCCTGAGGAGCAGAGAATATAAATAAAAGCACATGCCTCATTGAGCGGACTCGTTTCATAAAGACAGTGGAGAGAGGGAGAAACGCTACTCAGTTTCCCCAGGATATGAGGGTCAATTTCAAAGTATGATCCGTGAGCAAGTGGCGTAGGAGAGACACCTACCCCCACCCCGCTTGAGAGCTGCTGCCAGTTAACACCACCAAGCAAGACGGAGCAGCTGTAAAGCAGAACCCTAATAAATTGTTTGCCGAGCACCTGAAAGCCCAGGCAGTGTACAGAACGCAAAAGAGACCCTGCCCCAAGCAGGGATGCCATCTTATGTAGGCAAAAGAAACACTATACCAAAACGAACATCCAGATTGGAGGGACAGAAAGAAAAGGAGGATCTTGGAATTTAAACCTAACTTTAAAGGCAATTCCGATAGGTTCAGGACTGGCAAAAAAAAAGGAGACACTTACCTTCACGCAGGAAATCGACATCTGGAACCTCCATTTTCAGTTGCCGTATACCAGATGCTGGAGACAAACCCCTGGGGGTGGGGAGGCGGTGTTTCCCGCCCGGCTTGGTGAGCTTCCCAAAGACGCCAAATGGGTTTCTTAGGGACTGATCTGGAAATGAGCCCGAAAGCTTTAACACTCAGGACTTAGCCCCAAGGTTCTCCTGGGCTCGGCGAGCCCTGTTCTTAGGGGAGAGTTGCAACCCGTAAATGTGTAAATAAGGTGTTGGCGTGCGCCCCTTCTTTCCCTGCAGCTCAGAAGCAAAAGGCAGCGCTTGTGCGCTTCCTGGAAGTGTCCGATTGGCCGCTTTGGGGAACAGGACTCTGGGAGAGATGGGCCCTTCGGTCTGCCTGGCAGCTTCCCCTTCTGCTCTGGCTAGAGAGAAATTTGGGGGGGCGAGAGGGCTGTTGTGAGCCGTGAGCCTCCAGGTCCCAAAGCAGTCTACCTCTAAAAACCAGCAGTTGCGGGGTGGGAGGGGAACAGCGAGGAAGGGCTGCTGCTTCTGGTCTTGGTTGACCACAGCAGGACTGGGTGGATCTTTGGCATAATCCCACAGGGCTCCTAAGTTTCCTCCCGCCTGGTGTTGGACACACAGTTTCGAGCGCTCGTCCCCTACGTTACGGGCTGCGTCAGGGGTAAGGAACCTTTTCCAGCCTCACGTTCCTTTCTAGGCAACCTTCTGGGCTCCACCTGCCAGTGGTGGGCGAGGCCGGAAGCAAATGAGGCCGGAGCGGCAAATTCACATTTTTCCCTTTGTACAAGAGGCTAGTTTCTCCACACCTTCACAGACCCTTCTCCTGCTCCCTCTCCAGAGGCAGTTTGGGGATGATGTTCCCTGTCCAGCAGAAACTCTCCAGAAGGGTGTGGAGTGAGGCTGGTGTTGGTCTAGAGAGACTCCCAAGGGCCACATAATGAGGCCTCAGGGGCCACATTTATCCCCCTTTCCCTGCACCCAGACTCCTGCTTGTCATCCCTGGGATATGGGACTTGGCCCCGAATCCTAAAAGGGAGGAGAGGTCTTCCTATCTGAGCCGCACCATACATTTGGAGAACATGGCTTCCTTCCCCCAAAAATCTTGGGAGCTAGTTTGTTAAGGGTGCTGGGAATTATAGCTCCGTGTGCTTTAAATATCCAGTATGGCTGTGGCCTTTATCTCAGCTTGCAAAGATCCTGCCACTGTTTATCCTGGGGGAGAGTCCTTTTACAGTGCAATCCTACATCATGTCTACTCAGAAGTAAGTCTCAGGCCCCAGCTGCACCATACATTGGAGACTCTGTGATGCCACTTTGGGGATTTCCCCTAAGATATCCTGGGAACTGTAGCTCATTAAAGGTGCTAAGAGTTAAGGCAGTCAATGGATTGAGGTTGAATTCTGACAAGACTGTTTTTGTGGGATGGGATAGGTGGGTGGGTGGGGGGATTCCTTGGTCCTGAACAGGGTGACTGTCCCCCTGAAGGACCAGGTGCGCAGCCTGGGAGTCGTTTTGGACACGCAGCTGTCCATGGAGACGCAGGTCAGTTCTTTGTCCAGGGCAACTGTCTACCAGCTTCATCTGGTACACAGGCTGAGACCCTACCTGCCCATGGACTGTCTCTCCAGAGTGGTGCATGCTCTGGTTATCTCCTGCTTGGACTACTGCAATGTGCTCTACGTGGGGCTACCTTTGAAGGAAACTGCAACTAATCCAGAATGCGGCAGCTAGACTGGTGACTGGGAGTGGCAGCTGAGACCATATAGCACCGATCCTGAAAGGCCTACATTGGCTCCCAGTATGTTTCCAAGCCCAATTCAAAGTGTTGATGCTGACCTTTAAAGCCCTAAACAGTCTCAGCCCAGTATACCTGAAGGAGCATCTCCACCCCTATCGTTCAGCCCAGACACTGAGGTCCACCTACGAAGGCCTTCTGGCGGTTCCCTCACTTCGAGAAATGAAGTTACAGGGAACCAGGCAGAGGGTCTTGTCAGCAGTGGTGTCTGCCCTTTGGAACTATTTCCGTGTGGAAATAAACAACTATCTAATCCCCGCGATGGGGTGAGCTCCCGTTGCTCGGTCCCAGCTCCTGCCCACCTAGCAGTTTGAAAGCACGTCAAAGTGCAAGTAGATAAATAGGTACCGCTCCGGCGGGAAGGTAAATGGCGTTTCCATGCGCTGCTCTGGTTTGCCAGAAGTGGCTTAGTCATGCTGACCACATGACCTGGAAGCTGTCTGCAGACAAACGTCAGCTCCCTTGGCCTGTAGAGCGAGATGAGCGTGCAACCCCAGAGCCATCTGTAACTGGAATTAACAGTCAGGGGTACCTTTACCTTTAAGACGGCAGCTCTGTACAGTGGTGCCCCGCAAGACGAATGCGTTGCAAGACGAAAAACTCGCTAGACGAAAGGGTTTTGCGGTTTTTGAGATGCTTCGCAAGACGAATTTCCCTATGGGCTTGCTTCGCAAGACGAAAACGTCTTGCAAGTTTGTTTCCTTTTTCTTAACACCGTTAATAAGTTGCGACTTGACTTCGAGGAGCAACTCATAGAACGCGGTGTGGTAGCCTTTTTTGAGGTTTTTGGTGATTTTTGAAGCTTTTCCAAAACTTTTCTGACACCGTGCTTCACAAGACGAAAAATTCACTAGACGAAGAAACTCGCGGAACGAATTAATTTCGTCTTGCGAGGCACCACTGTATAGGGACTTTTTAAATGTTTGGTGTTTCACTGTGGCTGGTGTTTTAATTTGCCAGAAGCTTCCCAGAGTGGCGTATAAATTATAAATTATAATATTTATTAGGAGACACCCCCTCCTTACACTATCCCCCTCACAGAGGAACAATTCCCGGAGTGGTTTAACAATTGCTCCCCCTTCCCAGTGAACTCTGGGGTTTGTTGTTCTGTGAGGGGGGATAGTGGGGTCTTCTGACAACTCTCAGCAACCTCAACAAACTACATTTCCCATGATTCTTTGGGGGAAGCCAAGACTGCCTCAGGGGGCATGATACTGCTTTCAATATACAGTGGTACCTTGGTTTAAGAACAGCTTACAGTATTTTATGAAAAACTTGGATTAAGAATGCGGCAAACCCAGAAGTAGGTGTTTTGGTGCAAACTTTGCCTTGGAAGCAGAACATGTTCCGCTTCCTGTTGCGTGTGTTCCATTTGTAAATTGAGTCCCTCGCTGCTATGGGAAAGCACGCCTTGGTTTAAGAACGCTCTGGTTTAAGAACGGACTTCCGGAACAGATTCAGTTTGTAAACCAAGGTACCACTGTATAGGGCAGATGGCACCTGAGTCTCCAGGCTGCTGGTTCTTAACACTAAACATGTATACAAATCATAGCATTGCTCCGAAAAGTCATTTCATGTGATCCTGAATGCCTTTCCTTTGCCGAATTGTCTGCTTAAAAGGCCACGGTAGGTGGGTGATGTATTGTCTAAACGGAATATGTACGTGTCTTTATATTTTGTTTAGTTTTTTCTTTGCAAATATGCATGGGTAAAAAAAATTTTTTTTTACTGTCCTTGTGGTTTAGGATGCTATGTTTATATGCCTGTATATAGTATATGCCTGTGCACTTATGTATGCCTTGACGGACTCCGTATGTGTTAAATTGTCAACAGTGCCATTCAGGTACCCATGATTTCTTCCCCTGCGGCTATGCAACTCTGGAAAGTTCATTTGCAGCGTTCTCCATTCCACCACGCCCCTGACTTTGCCAAAGAACTCTTTGCCTTACTCTGGACTTTGCAACTTGTCTGCAAAAGTTACTTGTCCTCATCAGAGGAAGAAAGAATAAGCTGTCCAAGCAGGCTTGTGTTAGCCGCACAGTACCAATGGCCTAGATTGTGGGGGTTTTTTTGGGGGGGGGAATCTCTTCTAATTTTACAAAAGCTTCCCAGTCTATTTGCCCCAGGCAAGTAGTTATTTCTTTATCCTTCCTTAGTTGACACCCTGTTGAATTTTGCTCACGTACTTTGGACTATGAACTCTGTCTGGGCTCAAGAGGGGATTCTGCTGTCACTCCACCAGGAACCATTTTCTGGCGCCCAAAATATATTTATGTGCAATGCATGTATACCTCTATAGATTTCCTGCATCTTTTGGCTGTGTGTGTGTTATTTTATTTCAGCAGCTGGTCCCTGTAAAGGATGCCCTTGTTTAATGGATGTCCATCAACGCTTCTTTCCAAGAGAGAAAATTTGGGCCTTTTCCTGTTCTTGCTTTGATATCAATGCTTTACTGTATATTGCATTGCCTTCTTAACCAAACCGATGCCATCTTGTTTGCACCAAGAGATTCCATTTTGAGGCCGCGAAGTTCTCTTTACAAATGGAGGCCATCGATTTTAGAGAAGGGATCAGCCGTTGCTTCTCCAAGCCTTAAGTCGTTTTCAGTTTGATTTCCGGCGGGTCGAATCCTGGCAGAACAACGGCACAAGAGCTGCCACACACCTGTTGTCCGGCTGATCTTCCTTACCTTTATTTTTAATCCCACTTCCCCACCCCAAGAAGGAAAAATATATGCTTGATGTTACTGCAGAATCTGCATGATTAATTAAGCCATTGAACTCACGGGAGGGGAGGGATTTTCTCGGGTTTTCCTAAATGCCATGGGGGCGTTGATGCCACGTGGCCCCCAGCCACGGATGCTTTAGCTGAGATTCCTGCCTTGCAGAGGGTTGGACTAGATGATCATTGTGAGTCCCTTCCAACTCTACAATTCCGTGATTCTATGATCGCAGGCACCTGCCCAGCTGGAGTTCATTGACCTTAAGCGATGGTGTTTGGGATTCTTCGCCTGGCTCTTCTATGGTGGGACTTTGTCTGTGAAACGCATGCAGTGTGGACAGCCCGTCTCTGCTTTCCGACTCGAGTGGTAAATTACACTCGATCCGATACCATGCCGTCTCTGGCTGGGAACAACCGAAGGCAGCGCTAGCTAGTGGTTTCAGTGTTGATGATTATCGT